ACAGCAGCATTCACTGATATACTAACGACATTCACAGATATACTCAACAGCATTCACTTATAGACTCAACAGCATTCATTTGTAAACTCAACAGCATTCACTGATATTCTCAATAGCATTCACTGATATTCTCAATAGCATTCACTGATACACGCAATAGCATTCACTGCTATTCTCAATATCATTCACTGATACACTCAACAGCATTCACCGATATTCTCAACAGAATTCAATGATGTACCCAGCAGCATTCACTGATATACTCAACAGCATTCACTAATATTCACAACAGCATTTACTGATAAATTCGACCCGTGAAGATTCGGCGTAGAACACGTCTTCAGCAACCCATACTTGCCGTAAAAGGCGACTATGCTTGTCGTAAGAGGCGAGTAGCGTGGATCGATGCGCATGATGTCAGTCACTGGATTGTCTGGTCCAGGCCCCCGTCATATAGCTAGAATATTGCTGAATGCGGCGTTAAACAACAAACATACAAAAATACACTGATAAACTCTACATCCTTCACTGATATACTCAACAGCATTCGCTGATCTACTCAACAGCATTCAGTAATATTCACAACATTCACTGACATTCTCAACAGCATTCACTGATCTACTCAACAGCATTTACTGATATACTCGACAGCATTCACCGATAAACTCAACAGCATTCACTGATACACTCAACAGCATTCACTGATATTCTCAATAGCATTCACTGATGTACCCAGCAGCATTTACTGATATACTCAACAGCATTCACTAATATTCACAAAAGCATTTACTGATAATTTCGACCCGTGAAGATTCGGCGTAGAACACGTCTTCAGCAACCCATACTTGCCGTAAAAGGCGACTATGCTTGTCGTAAGAGGCGAGTAGCGTGGATCGATGCGCATGATGTCAGTCACTGGATTGTCTGGTCCAGGCCCCCGTCATATAGCTAGAATATTGCTGAATGCGGCGTTAAACAACAAACATACAAAAATACACTGATAAACTCTACATCCTTCACTGATATACTCAACAGCATTCGCTGATCTACTCAACAGCATTCAGTAACATTCACAACAACATTCACTGACATTCTCAACAGCATTCACTGATCTACTCAACAGCATTCACCGATATGCTCAACAGCATTCACTGATACACTCAACAACATTCACTAATATTCACAACAGGATTAACTGGTATACTCAACAGTATTCACTGATATCCTCAACAGCATTCACTAATATATTCGACAGCATTCACCGATGAACTCATCAGCATTCACCGATAAACTCAACAGCATTCACTGATATACTCAACAGCATTCACTAATATACTCGACAGCATTCACCGATAAACTCAACAGCATTCACTGATATACTTAACAGCATTCAGTTATATTCACAACAGCATTTACTGATATACTCAACAGCATTCACTCAACAGCATTTGCATAAAATATACCTAATTTTGGGAAACAGCGCAAGATACAACCCTCAACTTAGTGTAAATATACTCTTATCTGTTAATTACATAACGCCACTGTTTGCCATTTAATTAACTATTGGTCACAACAGACAACTAGTTCTGGTGGTTTATCTCGATGGCTACGTGATCCGTGTCTTCATGTCTCGATGTCGTGTTTGTTGCCCATTCATTTAGTCAGTGATTTGCCTGGACCAGACTTGACTACGTAACAGGCTGCCATGATATAGTGAGTGAGTGGGTTTTACGCCGCTTTTAGCAATATTCCAGGGGGACACCAGAAATGGGTTTTACACTTTCTACCCATGTCGGGAATCGAACCCGGGTCTTCGGCGTGACGAGCGAACGCTTTAACCACGCGGCTACCCGATCGCCCCCTACCATGATATAGATCACCCCCTACTGACTGCCGAGTGAAACAACGAAGAAGCAAGGAATGTGTTATTCACTGTTCTTGTACAGGAAATGTCCCAACCTGACAGCCAAGGTTATTAATATTAATTATGTCAGTTTTGTATTGACTTTCAATTCGAGTAAGTTGAAAAGGCCTATCAAACATGTTTCCTTCTGTATATCAAGTTGTGAAGGAAGTGTGTATGAATACTGAAAAAAACAAATTCAAGAAAACTGATTATCATTTATAAAGTCAGCAATAAAGTGGTCGTCGGTCGATGAAGTTGAATGTACCTTTTAACGGTTTTCTGTTAACCAATGTCAGAAACCCTAATGATACCTTGTCTACATGGTCTCATCCGGTCATTGGTGAGATTACAAATCCTATTTACAGTCAGACGAGATGGCACTGTATATTGATTCACCAATATCCTCTTATAATTAGTGGAAAAAGTAAGGAAAACACCTTCTGCAACTTTCTCTTATCAATTCTTATTAATTCGTACAAAACAAGAAATGTGGGATGTGGGGAAATGTTGTTGTTGTTTGTTTGTTGTTTAACGCCGCACTCAGCAATATTCGAGCTATATGACGGCGATCTGTAAATAATCGAGTCTGGACCAGACAATCCAGTGATTAATATCATGAGCATCGATCCACGCAACTGGGATCGATGACATGCATCAACCAAGTCAGCGTGCCTGACCACCCGATCCCGTTAGTCGCCTTTTACGACAAGCAGAGTCACCTTTTACGGCAAGCATGGGTTGCTGAAAACCTTTTCTACCCCGGAATCTTCACGGGTCTGTGGGGAAATGTATTGTCCCCATATGAAGGGTAGCAAAAAGTGAAAATACAGCAGAAATGACACTATATAGTTCCATATAGATATATAAGCATAATGTTGACTATCAGTGGCTTGCTTGTGTCGTTCAAACAACAAGCACAGCAAACGTCACCAACAACATTCGTCTCCATTATATGGTTAAAATTTGAACACAAACATACAACCAACTATAGACATTTGAAATACTAGGGGAGTTATTTGAGCCCGTGGAGTCATTTGGGCCAACATGTATGTTATTCGCGTTTCTTTTGGCAGTGAGTATAAATGCTTCCCCACAAGGATATTACAAGCACAATTGATCACAGCAAGTTTATATTTTGATCAAAGTTGATAAGAGTCACATATGTATATATTGTAAATAATGTATGGCCTGAAACAAAAAAAATAAATACACTGTTTTCAAAGTTTTTGAAGGGGAACTAACAACAACAAACAACAACCTTCACTGACTTTGAACAATCTCGGTCATCGTTAAATGGATCATGTTTTCTTAAACATTAGAAAAAAACAACCCAGATAGAAAACATAGAATCTTTTCAAGAGACTATGCCTACTGTTGGGAAACAGCACAAACATAAAACCTTCAACCTTTAATCTACTCCAAACTGTTTATTTATAAGGCCCATTTACCCTCTTGGAATTTGTCCACAGGAATAAGTGTCATAACAGACCACTAAGTTTTGTGGTAAATATCGATGGCTTGTTTGTCTGTGTCATCATGTCTCGATGGCGTTATATTTGCTCGTGCATTCAGTCAGGGGTTTTCCTGGATCAGACTCGATTACGTCACAGGCTGTCATGATATGAAATATTGCAGAGTGAAATACCAAACAAACACTGTATTTATCAATGTATTCGTACAGCAAATGTCCCAGCCCTCACAAAGACAAAACTACTAGACCCGTGAAGATCCGGGGTAGAATAGGTCTTCAGCAACCCATGCATCCCCTAAGAGGCGACTATGCTTGACGTAAAAGGCGACTAACAGGATCGGTTGGTCAGGCTCGCTGACTTGGTTTGATGCATGTCATCGTATCACAATTGCGTGGATCAATGTTCATGATGTCAATCACTGGATTGTCTGGTCCAGACTCGATTATTTACAGACCGTCGTCATATAGCTGGAAAATTGCTGTGTGCGGCGTTAAACAACAAACAAACAAAACTACTAATATTAATAAATGTATTGAACGTCAATTCAAGGAACCTGAAAGGATGAATCCTGAGAAAAACAATTTAAAATGTGGGATGATTATCAGTTACCTAAATATAATAGTGGAAGTCAGTCGGGGAAGTTGAAGGGAACTTTAACGGTTTCCTGTTAGATAATGTTCAGTGTAACCGTCTGTACAAATGGTTGTGAAGGATATTGAGTGGTAACACTCTCCATCTCGAATGTAAGGAATAATTTAATCGTTGACAGTTTTAAAAGCATATTTACCCCAAACGTGATTTTAATTCGATGACGTATTGTAACGGAACTTACGTTCTCCATGTGCATGGGCGTACGGCGGGAGTGAAGGTAAATGTAAGACGTCTTTTCATCTGTTCTTTAAACGACATGCTATATAATATCAATTTCACTATCTGAATGGTCTGATTTGACCTGGTACTGCCTCATGTTGACATTTTGATATATATATATATATATATATATATATATATATATATATATATATATATATATATGCAATGAGTGTACTGGTTATTTGTAAATATCAATATCACACAGCAATTGATATTTTCATTAACAATTGTGCAAATTGATTTCTTCACATAATTATCATGCTTCCGGAATGAAAAGGCTAACACTTTTGGCTACTATCATCGTCTCCAAAACAGTTTGGTAAAATTGGTGTGTCTCATATGTTCATGATTCACCGTATTTTCAGCTAGCAATGTACACTACTACAAGTCTTCCCAATATCCCCATCAGCATCTTGGAAGGGATTAAGCTTCATCCCATCATCGTCTTCTTCTGTGTCCTATTGATGCAAGATGCTTTCTAAAAAAAATGATTTAGGCTTAGGCTTACCAGGTTTTGCAACTATCTTGTCTCCATACAAAATCCCAGGACCTCCTCCCCAGAGAATCATATGGTCGGTCCCTAGAAGGCCTTGTCTGGTGATATATCGTCAATAATTTGAATCTGTGTATCTATACCCTGATGTAATGCAGGTGGAAAAGGGGTTGATCAGTGTCTAAGCTTTGTATAGTTGCAAATGTCATTGTAGTGCTTCCACCGTCCATAAACAAACATGTATTTCCAGGTAACAATGAACAACACAGCGAGTCTGCCCCTTATCCCCATCAGCATCTTGGAAGGGATTAAGCTTCATCCCATCATCGCCTTCTTCTGTGTGCTGTTGGTGTTTGTTGGGATCCCAGGAAACGGTTTCATCCTTTACATCTACACCAAGAAAATCAACCTCGCCATTTTTGGTTTCTTCATCAAAACATTAGCAGTTCTTGATCTCATCACCTCCATTGGAGTAATACCTTCGTCTTTGATATCGAAAGTCATTCCAAATATAAACATCTCTGAAATGTGTAAGTACATCACCTTTCTCTGTTACTTCAGTTCTTCCACAACAGGGATTCTGTACGTTGTGATCGCTTTCCAACGGTTTAGGAAAATCTGTTATCCTCATGAATCTCAGCTAACTATGAATCTGGCTAGGAAAGTGACGCTTGTGTGTATCATCTTCTCCTTCGTCTCTGGCCTTCCTATTGTCTTCATAATGACAGCCAGCAAGTTACAAATTAAGTGGAATGTGAACAACAAGGACGGTTTGGTCAAGGGTGTGACGTGTGACTACACTGAAACCGCTAAAGACATGAAGATAGCCCTGGCATTCTCCACCTGGATGTTTATATTCGTTGTGTGCATCATGAGCTCATTGACAGTGCTGTACTCCAAAATTGTCTTGAAACTGAGACGCCATACTCGAGACATGAATGTGTCATTACCTTCAACAAGACGCCATAAAAGAACTGTTGCCGTTACAGCCATGTTTTTCAGTCTGACAATCATCTATGTCCTGAGTGTTATCCCACGTCTTGTCCAGGCATTGTTATTCAGCAAGACCATGACAAGTACTCAACGGACATTCACACAGCTCCAGATGTCTGATTTTGCTGTCCAATTGCCCTATGTCAACTGTGTTGCCAACCTCTTCATTTACGGTTTCTCCTCCACAAGATTCCGACATGAGGCTCTCTCTGTTCTTTGTGGTAGATATGGCCATGACCAAACCGTGACTACAGATACAAGAGATCAGACGGAACTCAGATCGACACAAACCTGATCATCTACTTTTGTATAAAAAGTAATCAAATGAGACCCCTGTATTATATCTACATATTCTCTGAACATAGGGAATGACGACGCTGTTAATTAGAGGCTTAGATTTGACCTTTGAGTGTGAATTAAGCGTCACTAATGGTTTAACTTTACATCGTATTGTGCAGTTTATTTTTGCAATAAAGGATAGATGAATCAGTTACAAAAATAGATTAATGTATTTATTGACTGAATGAAAAAGGAATATTAGACAAATTTGTTACCACCTGAGTGAGTGGGGTTTTAACGACTCTTGGAAAAATTTTCAGTTTTATATCATAGTGTGTCAGCGTAATGTTGGATTCGAAACCATACATCATAAGATTCGGAAAAGCCAAGGGGAAACAATTCTGCACAGCTGCATTCGAAATTTATACCACCTATTACATCAAGAACCTATAAAGTCAGAAAAAATGCTTTAAGGCGTATAAATACAACATTATGTTTAAAACAATTACAATGAGTGAGGGTGTGTCACTCGACATGTGATGTACATCTGATATACACACTTACAAAATTACATCCAATGTTACATACAATGACAGTTTGCTAAGATAATTGGGCGTCAGGTTTTAAGCCCTCCTCCTCCCAAACAAAAAAACCCAACAAAAACAACACAACAGAACATATAAATATACAAAACGTAACAGGTTTTATATAAACAGATGTCTCCGCTAGACATGCCACGTGTCCTGAAAATGTATTCTGGGCTTCCCTATCCTTGTTGAGCTCTTGTTTGAGAGAATACAACTGTTTGTCCCAGAGCAGTGACGTTTGCGTTGGCAAAGAATCAGTTATGAAAATGGATAAATAAGTTTATTTTTTTACTTCTCCTTCCTCAGAGCAGTGATAGAATCATATTCTGCATGCCGAAATATCCAGGTCCTCAATAATATTGTGACATCTATAAACAAGAAATGTTTATTGAACATGCAGATCGGTCCATCCTATTGAATGCCATACATCTGTGTCATCTGTGACATTAATGATAAGGTTGTATCTTTATAATTATTTGTTACTGGTACAGACACTATCTGTGGGGGGCCGCCTCCGTGGTCAAGAGGTAGAGCGTGAGCCCGGAGAGCGGCAGGTCCGCGGTTCGATCCCCGGCCGCGTCATACCAAAAGACGTTAAAAGATGGTACTTGTTGTTACCCTGTCTGGCGCTCGGCACTAAGGGGCCGAAGGACTGGTCGGCTCGGAGTCAGTATAACTGTGTCTGAGTGGGGTATTCATGTTAAACTGCGGCATGGTATCTCAGTGAGCTAGCACTATAAGTCGGGATCAGTCCGGACTAGTACAAGCAGCCACACAGACACACGCGCAGTGCAATAATCTTGGACGCGACGTTAAACCCAATTTCACCTCACCTCACCTATCTGTGGGTCTTCATTTCACTGTGAAGGCTACGAGACAATCATGCAGGATTTACATGTACATACATTTGCAAACATAAAAGGTTTTGGGAGTGTACGTCATGTGGGCGAGGCCAACCAAACTGGGGAATAACTCCTACGTTTCTGCCATCTCGGACTATGCGCATTTGAAGATAACGGTCAGCTTGTCGCTTTGTCAGAAAAAAACATACCCAAAAAGTATTAATTCCTCATAGATATCTTCAGCGGTGAAGGATAAATAGACTTTGGTGTTTACATATCGCAACCTTTGAGATACAATCGAGCATGGTCTTTCTACCTAGATTTCAAAGAGCGCCATACGACTCTTGTTCAGAAGTTGTTTGATCGAGCTTCATGGCTTCAGTAAAGCTTTCAAAAAGTTTTATGGTAGACACGTGGGGACATTTCCAAATTTGACGCTTCAGTGACAAAAATGATGTCCGATGCAATTCCTTATTTTGACTTTTACCATAAGTTCCCATGTTTTTTTCAGGTGAACAATTGACTTGCCTTTGCATGTGTTTGTGACGGGTGCCACCGGTTGGGCGGGATACGCTCACCTTTTCGCGAACACCTGGTATCATTACTTTCTGATAGTGATTCATAAACACATGCTCATGATATAGTCGGAAGTGTACAATCATCTCTGCTTTATGCAGAGATTTCTATCGGATATGGAACGGGTTGTGTCGTTGTATATTCATAGATACTCAGACAGCCGATGCAGATATGTTAAAACTATTTATTGACATTTAACTGAGTTAGAAAGCAAACAGAAAGAACTCCAATCGTGACGACGTCAGCTGGTGAAGGCTGAAGAGACGCTTATCCATCGTCATGCGCAATTGAAATATAGATAAGCATTAGTATTTACAAACAACACATCTTTAGGTATGCAGAGGTTCTAAAAGTGTGACAAAAAGTTGGCAGTGCAATTTCTTAATCAAAGTTCGCAAACACATAAAACAGAAACGTCTGAAGTTTGCTTAGGGTATCCATAATTTGATCTATGTGATGTTTCTAGTAAATATTAAAAAGTGCATACTGACATTGTCATGCAGCAACACTGAATCGGAACGACTTTGGATAATGAGTGCAATTATTGAAAACGGGTTTTGATGATGATGGTTGTTTGGTTGATTGGTTTGTTGTTTAACGCTGCACTCATCCATATTCCAGCTTTATAACAGCGGTCTGCAAATAATCGAGTCTGGACCAGACAATCCAGTGATTAATATCATGAGCATCGATCCACGCAATTGGGATCGATGACATGCATCAACCAAGTCAGCGAGCCTGACCACCCGATCCCGTTAGTCGCCTTTTACGACAAGAATAGTTGCCTTTTACGGCAAGCATGGGTTGCTGAAGACCTGTCCTACCCCGGATCTTCACGGGTCTTTGATGATGTCAGAAATATGTAAAATATATAATACAAGGAAGATGGATCCATCATTATCAGTAATGTTATGGTTGTGTTGTCTTGTGTATGCTATTATTAACATTGTGTTCTCTCTGCTTGTAAGGAAAACATGCAGTGAAAGGGAGGTGATTATTATCAACCATGCCAGAATAGTATTGATTTTCCGTCGAGGATTTGTTGTTAATGTTCATTGTTGTTTACCGCCGCACTCAGCAATATTCCAGCTATATGACGGCGGTCTAAAATAATCAAGTCTGGACCAGACAATCCAATGATTGACATCATGAGCATCGATCTACGCAACTGAGATACGATGACATGCATCAACCAAGTCAGCGAGCCTTACCACCCGATCCCATTAGTCGCCTCTTAGGACAAGCATAGTCGCCTTATAAGGCAATCATGGGTTGCTGAGGACCTATTCTAACCCAGATCTTCACGCGTTTGTCGGTAGATTTTGTATAGAAAACAGTTTTATTTGAATCAAGTTGGGGACAAGTGATACTTATACAAATCTTTGCCCCCCACCCCCCCCCCTGCCAAAATAAGTTAACTACGGCCTTGCAATGCAGTTATGTAAATAATTCTTACACTTCTCTCGTAAACTTATTGTGAACAGGATGTTGAATAAACGCGATTAGAAGCTACCTAGTATCATATTTGTTTCTCCACCTTATATGATTGGTCGGATATTTTATGTAAATATAAGATCAGAACATCTGTGTTTTGGAATTTCCCCAAATATACATGATATCTCCAGTTGCAGGTTTGGTCGTATTGCAGTAGGTTGCTCGCTTGTAAAGCAATAAATAAATCCCTCCCAATCAAGGGCTTTAAATCTCATAAAACCCTGAGGGGTAGTGTTTTATCTTACTGAAAAACTGAAAAAAACATCAAAAAGTAATTTATCAACAATGTTATGTTTCCAACACACTTTCCATGAACCTTAAGAAACGAATGTAAAATGAATGTAACTGGCATTCATGTACTTAGAAAACAAACCTCTTAAAAGCATTGTGATTTATCAGCGCCTCAGCAGCCTAGTGGTACACGAACGAAGGTTGCAATATATATCACTTAACTATAAGTAATATTTGTTGTTTATTACAGCATTCCACATATCTTAAGTAAGCGTTGTCATGTGTGTTATGTAGCTTGTGTTCAATAGCAAACTAAATGTCTTAGCAGAGACGTTCCAAGCATGTGAGACCCATTTTACATGTGTTACCTATACAGAGTATCTCTGGGACAGAGGGCTATTGCGTAAAAACCTCCTGCTAAGAGGTTATTTTAAGAAAAAAGATCCTGTCAAAACAATAAGATAACATCACTAGAAAAATTTTAACATGACAAAAGTTTGTATCTGTCGATCAATTTGTATTTGCCTCACAGGGTGGCCATAAATAACACCACCATTATCTACCCACTCACTTCCTGGGATAGACTCAAACTTCACCCTTCAATCATCTTTTTCTGTGTGCTGGTGATGTTTGTGGGGATCCCCGGAAACAGACTCGTCTTCTTCGTCTAGACCAAGTGCATCCGAATTAACATTTTTGGTTTCATCATCAAAACCCTAGCAACCCTAGACTTCTTCAGTTGCATTGGGATATCTGCCTTTCTGCTACAAAAACTGTTACCTATCACAAATACCTCCTTCATGTGCAAGTGTAACTCATGGTTCGAATACTTCAACATCGCGACAACATGCAGCCTGTACGTTTTAATCGCTGTTCAGAGATTTAAGAAGGTTTGTCGCCAACAACGTCCTCAGATCACTGAGTCTCTGGCGAAAAACTTGACATTTGGTTGTGTCATCTTCTGTCTCCTGACAGGTGTTCCGATTGTTCTCATTGTGACGAGCCTTAAATTATTAGTCTTGAACCACACTGGCCTTGTGGAAGTGCAACTGTGTGATTTTACTGATGAAAGTAAACGTATGAAACTATCTCTACCATTTTCATCCTGGATGTGTTTGTTGCTTGTAGGTATAGTTAGGTAGGTATATCCCTTATCGTACTGTATGCGTTTATTGTTTGCCACTTAAGAAAACATTCCCTTAAGCAAATGTCCATAAATCACAAACAAACATTCAGAATCACAATCACATGTTTCAGCCTGACTGTAATTTATATACTTTGTGTTA